ATTATTACAGTATCTCTGATATGTACTGACATTAGAACAATACATAATGTCATTTGTAGGATGCTGTAAAATATCTATACATTATTACAGTATCTCTGATATGTACTGACATTAGAATAATACATAATGTCATTTGTAGGATGCTGTAAAATATCTATACATTATTACAGTATCTCTGATATGTACTGACATTAGAACAATACATAATGTCATTTGTAGGATGCTGTAAAATATTTGTACGTTATAGAGCTAAGAAGTTAGTATAGTTGACAACTGTATGTTAGGTGTAAATACTACTCTGTAGAAACTGAGGCTTAGAAGAACCCCTAAACCAATGTGTTTCCCCTTCTTGAAAACTTTTATTAGTCTTTTCTTAGTAATTAAGAGCATTCTGTCAGAGAATGTCTGCACACAAACTGCATACTAATAGGAGAGTTTCACTTTGCATCTTCCCCACATAGATCAAAATCTATATAAAATAGGCAGAAAAACATTCCTAAGCAGGTCCTTTTTTGTACAAAAATCTATTATTAATTCACGTTATAATTTAGTCTTTACACCAAGTGTTCTTTTGCCATGAGTTCACATTCACTACACTTACACGGTTGCTGACCATACATATTTTTTGTACAGGATGTTAGCTTTTCTTTAATGTTTATATCATTTACTCTTCAAATTTATGTCAACAAATGTTCTGTTAATGAGAGTTTTTTTGGGATTATCTGGAATATATTAGTTTTTAAGTTCAACTTCACATAAACACAGAATTATAATTTTTTTGCTAAAATTACTTATCATTCATTACAAAATTTCTTCTTTGGAAGAGAAACAAGTTTCTTTCCAACAAAAAATTACTTTAGAAAGCACAACATTCTCTGTACAGAAGTTATTGACATTGTTTCATGAAGAGTTGTTATTGTTGCAAAATAATTTCTTCTATTTTGTTTAATTATGTTTCCAAGCACTGTTAACGGTCAGTCGTTATCTTTCATTAAAATATGCTTGTATTATATGAACTTGTTGGCAGAATATCTTATTAGAATACAGTTACAACTTGTCTGTAACATAATCGGGTTACTGATCCATTGTAACAGGTTTCATTAAATACAGAGCATTGCTAAGGTGAGATTACGTTTAGAGTTGATGTACGATTAGTTTGATTAGTTGGGAAATTTATACCAATGGGAGTACTCAAATTAAGTGTTTCTAGGGAAACCGATTTTCATTGGCTGAATGTTAATCTAATGGTTGGAAAACAATTTTCATTTCTTTTGTTATTAATTCCCCACATTTGCAGCACCTTTTAAACCACCGGGAAGAACTATCACATCATATGGCCCTTCTTTTATGGCATCTTCTAAGCCGATATCAGGGACTATAGTAACATCTCGACTACACACAACTGGCTGTTTTCCTGCTAAGCCAGCTACTTTAACTGTGATCTGAAAGTACAATTATAAATTAAATGTTCTACATTACATTAACATTTAAGTAAATAAAATGGTTACCTTATTTCAGTGAGAATTTAACGAAAACCCCCCATTTTATTCTAAGGATTTTTAATGAAGAAGAATCACTCTACACTGTTCTTTCACTGCACACTTTCCAAGCTTTCTGTCAAATTGTTTGTTAATAGATATCTCGGGAGTTACCGATAGACAAACTAAAAATATATTAATATGTAAAACAACGTGGTTAGTAAGGTAAAATACTTTTATAAGGAACACAGTGTTCTTATTGAGGAGACTATGAAGCGTTATTAAACTTGAGAATATCATAAGAGCAATTTGAAGTAAAATTTAAAGAATTTTCTCATCAACTGAAGCTGAGTTAGCCGAGTCCATTTTAGTTCTAAGGCATATTCTTTATTAGTGTATCCTGCTATCTGACTTGTACAACATGGAAAATTCAATTCCAACAAAATGTTAGAAACAACTCTACAGGAAATCTTGTTTAAAAACATAAGGAAGAGCAAGATGATAAAAGTAATTCAGAAATTAAAAATTAAACGTGTTTTTTCACTAGTGATAACATTTTTCCACAGTGGTCCCATGCACAGTTAAATTTCATCCCTTATTCCTACCAATAATATTAAGCCCTGATAAACTGACTATGCATTGAACTTATTGCATTTGACTAGAGTAACCGCAAAACAAAAACTCACAGAGACAGTTGGAACGTTGCGAGACGACAATTTCCATTCTTATTTTATGGTTTTGTTTACCATTCATTTATTATTCCTTCTATCATTTAGTTCAACCACGAATACAATACTAACTCACCTTCCAGCTAGAGCACGTTGAATTTGAGTATATTTGTGTTATGAAACTGACACAAGCTTTCTCTAGTGGTGACGTATAGATATTAATGTTGTGAGAGATTAAGTAAATTAACTAGTCACACGAGATTTAATCTCCTCATCTAACCACTAAATAAAAACCCTTCCATGATCTTCAGAATAAGTTAGTTCACGAGATACAGTTTGAACAAATTATTGATGATTGTTGCTCCGTATTGTTACTGATCTTGAGAAGTGGTTTAATTTTAGAATGTTGCATTTTTTTCTTCTGCTACCTAATAGTTTTACTAATTGAAATTTATAACAATGAGAGTTATGTCGTATTATTTATTAAAATTTGTATCAAGTTATAGCCAGGCACAGGTTTACAAACTGTCTTTTTGTTTTTTTATTTATTATAAGTGATATAATTCATATTCTAGTTGTTTTTTTTTTACTTTGATTGTAGCTGCATTTTTTAGTCCATTTTAGAATTGACATTAGAAATAGACTAAAACAGTAAGAAATGGAAACTATCGAGACTCCTTAAATAATTCAGTTGGTATCACTCAAATAGTTAATTTTGATTTGTAGCCAGTTTGATTCAAGCATGGGACATAACTGAGCCATGACGGCAGTGGCCCCATGTAGTAACTTGAGGCTTGGAACTGTTACTGCACTCCACACCACCATCTATTCAACAAAAACTTAAAATAATGCACACAAACTGAAAAACATTTTACACAAGTCTAGCTGGAGATAGTTATCAAAAAATCAGTTTGCCACTGGGCTTTCAAAGATTCAGTTTATTACTTCTAGTATTCAAATCAGTATTTTCAGCCTTCTCATTCCAACAAACACAAAAATCTTCCTATCTTAAGCTTTAACATTTGAAACAAGCCACCTCTAGAAAAAACAAGTATAATATTTTCTTCATAGCTTAAATTTCTTAAATCAGATAAAAATAAATAATCATTTCAAACTTCCTAACATGTTAATATTTTTCCCATAGTAATGGGACTGAAACTTCACATGGTACTCTTAAATGAGACCTTACCAGACTTACACAAAACTGTAATAACTCCCTTGTCCTTAAATTCAAAATTCCTAAAGTGAAGCCAATAACTCCATTTGCTCTTTTCAGTATAGCTAAACATTCAGCATGTGGTTTTAGGGTTATATCAGTAATAATACCCAAACCTATTTTACTATAACAAAGATCTTCTCAATCTCATACAAGAAGCTAGTTCTTTCTAGTATTTTACTTTTACAGTTTTAGTGTTATCAGGAACTTTATAAATAATCTATATTATCAACATAAATAATTAAATATACATGTCATAAAAAGATGCATGTGCAAAATAAATAGAGAACTCGGATACTTACCTATAGAGTACAGAATACAGGCCTTAATACATGTAATTTCACCACTTAAAAACTGCTTTCTTGAATACCACTCATAAAAAACATAACAGGATAAAATAGTTACAAAATCAGACAAAAAACAATATTGAAGTTAAATGCATAAGAAGAGAACTGTTTACATCAATTATAATTTATTATTTACAATATATATATACAAAAAAGAAAACATACACCTTTATAAAATATCACAAGTGTATAATTCACATCAAATTTTCTATACACTACCCCACTAATTCAGATTTTTAACTGCATTTATTATATTTTTGGAAGAAAAAATTAACACTGATGTTTTAACATTCATGAACACTATTCATTAAATAATTAAACTGAAACACGCTTCTATATGTTGAAAGTCATAATGATAACTAATTAAACACACCATGGGTATAGAAACCCGGTTTCTAGAATATAACTTACAAGTCTACAAATTTAACGCTAAGCCATGGGGGTTTGATGGGCTATTATATTTATAATAACTAAATAAGACTTCTGCATTTATAAACACATACAAATTAAAAATTTATTACTTTCGCCTATCGATTCTTACCCCACCGCGTCTCATGACATCGGCCGATATTACAGCCTCCATTTCTTCAGCACCATCAGCTAAAATCAAAAGAGCAGATTTAGACATACTGTTAGTAGTTATATATTTAACAGAATAAAGTAGTTTTAGAGGATTAAATCTAAACCTTCCGCACAAGGATATTTTTTTTGCGTATGCCACACGTCCTAGAGCAAATGAAGTTAGTCATGTATACCGGTACACTGATTTGAAATAGTGCTGCCATCTATACTTTCAATTAAAAATATTTTGGAAGTTTACGTAAGATTCTGGTTTGATTTTACCTGAAATACTGTGTTTAGTCAGAAAGTTCACTGTAATTCACAGTAGTAATAAGCGAGTTTGAGTACACTTATTAGTGCTTGTTGCCTGCCTCTCCACATATAACAAATTAAAGTTTATCACTATATAAAAGATTTAAAGTGAAACATATGTCATTGTATTTACTAAAGTTTTTTAACCGATATGAATTATTAGGGTTATTATGTATAATTGTTCAGTAATTAACTATATATATATTTAACATTTGAAACCGTCAGTACTTGATGAAAATCCATAATTACAAAATTGAGGGAAAACAAGACAACTCTATGTTTCACAAATATATTACTTATTCAAGACCATGGTTTCGCCAGTAAAGCCATCATCAGGTACAGACTGAAATTCGTTCAATCTGCATATAAGGGGTCTGAAACATAACCAGGGGTGGTCAAAAACTTCTGTTTCTCTTCACTCTACTTCGTGGCTAATTGATAGGGACTTTTAAAAAATATAAAGTTATCTTAATTTAATTTCGTGAATAGAGTTATTTAAACATTTGTTTAACAACAAGTAAAAGCTTAGAATGGTCTATTCTTTCATTGGGGGTGTGTCTGTGAGCCAGACTAGTTTCGGAGAATTCCACTTCTCATCAGTGACCCTGGACGCTACCACCAATGAAATTTCAGACCAAACCAAGCCTTTATATTAGTGAGTTCTTTAAATACCTATAGAATGATAGGTTTATTTTTTGTGAGTGTATAACAATTTTATCTTTTAAGTTTGTTGCGTTCAAAATTTAAACGGCCATTTTCATGGGGGCAGGGATCTATAGATCCGATGCCCTGTTTGATTTTGTTGTGGGGGGAAACGGAAGTACCTCGAGAAAACCCACTTTCACTGGTATAGTCGTTATATTTATATATTTGGTAATTAAATTTGAAGTTCTGATCTAAGCAAGTGTTTACTATTGTTTTTAATTCCTGGGCTTTAACAGGGTTTACTTTTTCTATATTCATTACATCACTTACGATTTTGGCGTTATTCGGTATTTATATATTTTTGATATTTTCTACGAGCTCCAGAGAGTTTTTTTTATACTAATCGTAGGTTTAAAACCAGTTGGATTTTTGAACATTTTTTGGACTTTCTGTGCTAGTTTGTATGTGGGTACATTAGTATATGAAACAACAGGTCTGATAGGAATATTTGTTTTGTGTTGTTTAAAAACTCCATATCGACGTGGCGGGCACGTTCGTTTGTTTTTGAATTTCGCGCAAAGCTTCACGAGGGCTATCTGCGCTAACCGTCCCTAATTTAGCAGTGTAAGACTAGAGGGAAGGCAGCTAATCATCACCACCCACCGCCAATTCTTGGGCTACTCTTTTACTCACCGTCATATTATAACGCTCCCACGGCTGAAAGGGCGAGCATGTTTGGTTGGACGGGGATTCGAACCCGCGACCCGCTGATTGCGACTCGAGTGCCCTAACCACCTGGCCATGCCGGGCAAGGATTCATAACACTTAACGACTTGGAGATCACTTTTGCCGTTGTTAAACAAAGATTTAACATTGTTGTTAAATGTTTTGGTGGGGTCTATATTTAGGAACGTGAAACTGTTTTCAGGGTCAATTAAAGGGTGGGCTAGGAGAACCCTTTGGCCCAGGCCTCAAGCTCAAAGTAGGCCTCAAATTTAGACACTTATGTTTTTGAAATTCTTTTTTTTATGTGCTACCAAATCAGATCAAAATGTGACACACACACTCTCGGCTTAGAGCTGCAAATTATATATACAAATTAAATATTCAAATTATGTTTCACCTTTCTTTTGTTTTCATGTGTTATAATTATTCTTTATTGTAGCCAGGGACCTCAAAAGATAGAAGTGGCCCAGGCTTCTCTGAATTTTTGAGAGAGCTTGACTGTTAGAATCAAAGAGGTCGTTGATTTTACCGTGATAATTTTGTTTTTCAAATACAACAGTCGCATTACCTTTATCCGCTTGTTGCGTCAGCGAGGTCACGTGACTAGTATCACGCCACTCCTTCTCTCGAACCTTCGGGAATTGTCGGGAGATTACTAGATATAGGGTAGGCTGGTATATATAAGATGGTGACAACGTGACGGGATAATGTGCAGGTAGTGAGTAATTGAACTACAGTCAGAGAGTATTGTTGAAGTTAACGTTCGTTGTTATAGCGTTTGTTATAGCGCGACTGTTGAAATTAAGTGTATCGTGAAGTTGTATTCGGAAAGAATAAACCAG